AAACGTTGACCAAGCACGTTCTGGGCCCAGGAAGCGTCTAAGCGCGAAACGGGAATTCTGTCTGTTTGCACATGGGGAAGGGGGCGTGGCAAAGAGCGGGGATTTGCTCCGCGACCACTGTCAAGCTGGCACTGGAAGCCAGGTCTCCTGTCCCCTGGCTCAGACTTGCCCCCACAGCGAGAGGCGTTCATCTGCAGCTCGCCCGGCCCGGCGGGGCCCAGAGAGCTTCTCAGAGCCTGCCTGATGCTCCGCCACAGCCTCTCGCAGGCCCCGTGTTGTTTCCCACTATAGCTTCTGGTCCCAGAGCACTGGGACTGCCCCGCGGGGACACCCCCTCCCCTGCCCCCAGCCCAGGTGGGGTCTGGAAAGGCCCAACACATTTATAGAAGAAAGACAGGTTTCTCCCCGGCAAGGTAAAGAAAGCTGCTCGGGGCCCTGCCTACTTTCAAAGATGAGTCAGCAGCGGCAGAGGCTGGCTTCTGTGGGGTGTTGCGTTCCAGATCATTCCACCCTCCAGGGCTGCACCTGTTGGTTGCCAGGAGCAGCGCCTCCCTGCCCCCCTCTCTCCCTCCCTGCCTGCCCCTCTCCCTTCCTGTCTGCTTCTCGCTTCCTGCCTGCCCCGCCTCAAGAGGCTCACCAGATACTTGGTCTTGGCACAATGCATCCTCACAGCCCTCTGGCCAGCCAGGGTCTCCAGAACTACCTGGAGGGAGGGCGGGATGGAGAGCATAGCAGTGGCTTCTGGGATGGCACCACCCCAGACCTTGGCAGGGAGGACTGCGTGCAGAGGGGCTTGTGGGGTGGATGGAGCGGCCTGGCCCTCAGACGGACAGATCAGGACCAGCTCCCCACAAGGACGCAGTCCCATGTTATGGGACTGAAGCTTTGGAGATTTGGATGGCCAACTTGAAGAAAAAGGAATGCAAAGTGACAAATATGAAATGAGGTCCAGGGCCAAGGAAGAGGCCCGTGCCAAGGAGGGAGGGGCCTGCAGCTGAAGTTCCGTTAGCTTCCCGCCGGGTTGGCCTCTGGCTGCACACGGAATTCTCCAGGCCTTCCTGCCCTGGCCGGGCCGCAGCCCCCCACCCCTCCAGCCAGCAGAGGGGCTGCGGCTCACCACGCCGAAGCTGAAGGTGTCGGTGTCCACGGCCAGCCTCCCGGTCTTGATGTACTCCTCGGGCAGGTAGGCCAGGGTGCCGCGCACCGTCCGAGTCCGGGCCACAGTGCTGCTCTGGCCAGGGTTGGCCCCTGCAAAGCGGCTGAGCCGGGCCAGGCCAAAGTCTCCGAGTTTGGGCATCAGTCTATCATCCAGAAGGACGTTGGAGCTTGGGGGAGAAGAGAACGGTGTCAGCGGGCCCTGGGCCCAGCTCGCTCTGCCCCTGACACCTGACGTGATTGGACTTGGGACCGCCGGGGCGTTCCAGCCGAGGGGGCTCCGAGCAAGCGGCACCCACGGCGCCCTGGCATTTCAGCCCCTGCTTTTCAGCAGGGCCTGTCCTTGGACTCTGCTCCCACGCCCTTCCCATGCCAGGGACTCAGGGATGCGGGGCCCCCAGCTCTGATGTCCCAGGCTTCAGGGCTGCACCCTGTCCCCTACCTCCACCTTGAGCAGGAGAGGGCAGGCCTAATTCTCATGGGGACATTCAAGTTGGGGTTCCTTGGGGCCAGACTCCCTGCTGGCGGAAGCTTGGGGTGCGTCACTGCTCTGCCGCAGACTCTGCTCCTACAGCACCCAGGGGTCTGGCTGCATCCCCTCCTCACCTCTTGACATCACCATGGATGAGGCTGGGACTGTCCTGATGTAAAAACTGAATTGCTCGGGCTGTGCCCAGAAGGATGTCCAGGCGCTGAGACCAGGAGAGAGGAGAGCAGGCCTGGGTCTGGAGCAGCAGAGGGAGCAAAGGGCCACAGGGGAGGCTGGAGGCCACTGATCCTTGACCCCCGACCCTCCCTCCACCTGTCGCTGTGGGGTCTGGACAAGCACTTCAGTCTGTCGGCCTCGGTTTCCCCTTCTGGAAAACGAGGGACAAAATCTCCATGAACTACTTCACAAAAGGATTGAGACTAAGCTATTCCACTGCTTCGTACAAAGCATGCCGGGAAAATGGCTGGGAACGTGCTTTTCAGAGCCGTCTAGAATTCGGTGGCCTTCGGTTCCTGAAGTTCATTCGTTTGTCCCAGGACCATCAGGACTTTGTAGGAGGCTCTCTCCCCACTTCCCCCAACACAGTATGCAGTTCACCCTTGTGTCTCGTGGGTGCTCACGACATAGGGCCCAACTGCGGGTCCAGACAGTGCCTGATGCCCACTGTCCCCTTTCCTTGAGAGCAATACTGACGAGACTCTTCAGCTACTCTGCTTGTAAAACGGAGAAGCTCGAGTCAGGTTACTTTGAGTCGATAACCCCCTTTTTTAGAGGCGCCATAACCCAGGCTCCCGGACACGCAGGAACAGCCGGGGAGAGGCCGTGGGAAAGGGTCCTGGGGAAACCCTGCTTGCCAGTGGGACCCACTCGTGGAGGCTGACAGCCCAGGCCCCGCGCCCCACTCCGCACAGGCGCTGTGGGTCTGGGGGAAGTGTGCCAGGCCAGGTAAGACTACCTGGAAGTGGAGGCGGTCTTCCAGGGAGCCGTTGGGCAGGAAGCCATAGACGAGGCAGTAGCAGCCACTCTGAGCGCAGTAGCCAGCAAAGTCCACGATATTTGGGTGACGAAACCTGCTTGGAAAAATGGGGCCTGAGCGCTCTGGCCCCCAGCCTCCACTGCTCTTCCCATCTGACTGGCTCGGGGACGAGCAGTCCCTGCCGGACCCTCGGCTAGGCTGGGCCTGGCGGGCTTCGGGGGTCCACGGGAGCCAGGTCCCACGGTGTGCGGTCCTGGCGGGATGCACCGGCTCACCGTGACAGCTGCTCCACTTCGGTCAGGAAGCTCTGCTTCACCGTAGTCCACTCCAGGTCTGCCTCCTGCAGCCCCCAGGGAAAATGGAGAGGGGCAGCATGAGACTCTTGCAGCCAAAGCTTGATGGCCACTCCCAGTGCCTAGAACAATCAAGGGGCTGGGGACCTTGCGCTGGGGAATTGGAAGGCTGAAGGAGCTGTGTGGGAAGCAGGAGGACAGGCCAGAGCAGTGAGGATGCGCGGCCGGCCTTCCAGGGCCCTCGCGGGGACGCTACACCTACCTCCTTCAGCTTCTTCACAGCATACACCGTGTTCCTCAGCACAGCCCGGTACACGCACCCAAAGCCGCCCTCGCCGATCTTCAGCTCCTCTGAGAAGTTGTGGGTGCCCTGGGAAATCTCATGGAGGGGCCAGCAGAATGGAGTGGGGTGGGTCCCTCGCAGGAGGGATACTGGGTTCCCTGTGCTCCGCTGTGGAAAGAGACTCTCATCAGGTGAGGACCTGTCTCCTCCCCTCTGTCCTGGCCACAAGCTCCCTCCCAGCCCAGCAGCCTCCCAGCTGGCTGGCTGGGGCTCCCCGATGTACCAAAGACTGAGCTGGCTGGGGCTCCCCGATGTACCAAAGACTGGGTTTCTTGTCACTTCCCTGGGACCTTCCCTGGGGGGCAGGACCCACCTACCGTAGTAGAAGAAGGAGCTAGAGATGGTGGTGGTGGCTGGAGTGCCGCAGGGCTTGGGACAGGATTGAGCTCAGGCCGGGAATGGCTCTGGGAGCCTGGAAAAGCTACATAGAGACAGTAGTAAGAGGTAGGCAGAGACTGGCGGCAGGGTCTACAGTCGTGAAGAAGGTCAAGGCGGCCCCTTCCTCAAGTCCATCAAGCCCAACCCTAGGGCCATCTTACCTGGGGAGAGGAAGGTGGAGGCTGATGACTGCAATTTCCGGGGGCTGGGAGTCTCACCCTCAGAGGGTGCAGAGATGCTGCTGGTGGGCCTCGGGACGGTGGTGCTGGGGGCTGGCAGTGGGGCGGGAGGGTGCCCTGGGGCGTCAAGGAAGGAAAGGATGATTAGGCCCAGGAAGGGGGAGGAGCCCCGTGGGAGGCCCCCAGCCTGTGGGTCCCGGGTCCCGGGGTGGCACGCTCACAGGCCGTGATGATGTCCCGAGCGCGGAGCAGCTGCAGGTGCGTGAGGATGCGCACAAGGTCGGCCACGCGGGCGTTGCGGTTGATCCAGGGCCACAGGACGCTGGCCGTGCGCTGCCCCGAGCGCT